TGAATTGTTGAATATTTCTGTGCTCATGACGAAGTAACTGACGAAAACATGACTAGATAGATGGTCACTCAAGAGTTGTTGAACCGCAATTGGTATCTTCAAATTTTTCATTATTATTATTATTTTATTAAACTTATTCCATCAAGCGACAATGATCGAATGAAACAAAATTATGCAGCGTATTTTGCAAGGACGTGCCGGTATAACCAGTTGTTTGGATTAGGTGTGTTTTTTGAGACGTGCAAGCAGATTGATCACCATATCCTTTCACTCATTCGATCATCAGCAATTTCCTTTTTGAAACGGGCAATTCGATTTTTTGTGAATTTGAATTGGTTGCAGATCAGCTCTACTGTGTTTTATGCACAAAAAGAGAAAAGAAACTTCGATGTGGAAAGGATGAATCGATGCAACTCCACTGATATGATCAGATCACCTGGTATGACCGATATTATTAATAGTCAGCATAACCGGTTCGTACGAACGCACTTTCAACATAATTCATTCGGAACATTTCTTTATTTACAGTGCGTCAATTCAAGCTTCTTGTTCAGTTTCACTCCTTCATGATCAGAATCGTAATATATTGTTCCTAATGAGGCAACCAAAAGCTGATAACAACCTAAACAGATTAAACAACTTCTCGCAAAAAAATACGAAGAACTCGCAAAAAACTTGTCGTCTCTTTTATTTCTATATTGGCATTTTCCGTTCCGTTAACACTGTCCTTGCTACTTCTATTGCTGGAAATGCAACCTTGCAAACTGTTTCGCTCTTCTATTCATTCGGATATTTGAGGGTCCAAAACAGCAATCACTCAAACTTGAACTTCAGTAATGCTGGTCATGGAATCGACAGATAACGGCCAAATGAAGAGTCACGTTGATCTTCCATGATGCAGTTTGAAATTCGCTCAGCAGAGGTCCAATAACATACATGAATTACAGCAATAATCAGTTCCCAAATGAAGCTAATTATTTATGATGCACTCTTTCCAGACAGCAATTAAATAATTACACAAGGTAGAAGATTACGTAAAAAATAAGAACTTCATTTTCCGGAGCAGTTTTACAAGTAGAATCCGAATAACGAACATTTTCCTATATGTGCATTTTCTTTGGAAATAACGGAAGATAGCCAAAAAGCATGAATTTCTTTGCCTGAAAAAGTCGACTTTTCATTCTCTTACAACTGAGCAATGGGCCACATATTTACATGCAATCACATATGCAGAATCCGAATCTGCAATCGAATGCTCCTCACTGATCATCTGCGAACAGTGATTAAACACACGAGGTACCAAATTGAAGTTTATGTGCTATTTGTTCTGGACGATGATTTCAAGTGTTCGGATGATTTCCAGTGTCTGTTTAGAAACATCGGACAGTGATACATTCACCATAATCGAAACTGATACCACAATCTGCAACCCAAGTTTTTCCAACCTTTCACTCTTTCTACTTCCCTGATCGTGACAGGAATAACGTATGTTTATTTCCAACCTTAAATGAAGCGTCTTAACGAATTAATGTGTCAGCGTAATTAACTACGCGTAAGTGCATGCACAAATTTTTATATATTATTAATATTTCCGTGAACGTTTCATGTTGAGTCAAATTGAAATGACCGAATGTTATTGCGGACACCTGCCACTCCACTTTTAAGTGGGTTCTCTGCATGAATGCTTTTATTCGTGATATCACCGAATTGAGTGAATGAAATAACAACAGCAAAAAATACCAATGCGTTCCTATTAATCAAGGCGATTTTGCTATTTGCGATTTCCCTTTTCTGGAGTGTCCTATGATGGTCACCGATCGTGAAAATCCGAAGCTAATGACGAATATTCGATACGATTCTTCCAAATGTAACAATAATAATCTTACTCAGTGTTGGACTTGAAACTTTCTAGCTGCTGAAAATTGCAGAAATGAATATAAAAATCAAATACGTGAGTGAGAAATGGGATAGGGCAGGTGTATATTTGGATAAAACGATCACTTATGTGCATCTTAATGAATAATGAACAAACGCCACCCGAAAGCAATTTTGCGTTGCACAACAAAGAGAAATAAACGGGTGGTGATAATATCATCAAAGACGTCATTGTCTATTGAGAAACCGTTTGCGAGCATAAGAAGTGGCCTCATTTTATTTGTTGGTTATTGTGTTATATTGATGATTGTTTTGGTGGTGCTGCTGCTGTGGAAACAATCGAATTCGTATGAAATAGGTTGCTTAATGGAAGCTGCAACGATGACGAATTCTATTTTATATTTCATTTGAACTGAAAGCAAGAGTAGGTTTGTGCACCGTGAATTGTTGTATCTCATAACACAAATGAATTTCGGAAAACTGCGTCGATTATGGCTTAATTGACAATTCAACTTTGTCGTTTTTTCCATAGAAGG